CCAGCTTTCTCTTCAGATGAGTATTAGCCCCTGCAGGATCCCCTGCAGCATCAGGCAGAGGGAGCATGAGATAAGAGCCCTAGATGATCAGGATTCCAGCCCCAGACCAGATACAACTGGCCAAAGGACAGGTGGTACCTGGTGCCATGGATTCCTCCTCAACCAGCTGATTCAGCCTACAGGAGTCCTATTTATCATCACCCAGTTACCCACAATTGAAACTGTCAGAATATGTGGAAGGGGAAAGTGAGTCAGAGCCTACAGTTCTTGTCATCCTCACCGAATGAGGTGGTTACTCCATCCTCTCTGTTTCCCTCAGATGACTTTAAGCAATACCAGGATCTCATGCACAAGGTGACTGTAGAGCTACAGAATGAGCTGGAGAAGGTCCAGAAGCCTCAGCACAGTTTACTGGACATTCTGCAATCTTCCAGTCCCTGCTGAGTGGCCCTCCCCATCAATGAGGCCATCGTGGCAAAGATGGTTTGGCACACCCTGGCTTCTTGTGTGCTCACCCCAAAGAAAGCCAAAAACCATTACTTTGTTCCTTCCTGGAGGGGAGGGGGAGAGGTTTTTGTTTTCTCACCCACTGTCTAACTCTTTGGTAGTACAGGTAGCTACAGAGCAGTCCAAGCAACAGCACCCAAAGCTCTGACAAGTGACTCATCCTGCTAGGGAGAAAGGTCTTCTCATCCACCTCACTCCAGTTCAGGAGCTCAAATTACCAAGCCTTTTTGTCCAAATATGATGATAGCAACTGTAATAAGTTTTTGGAATTCAAGGACAAGCTCCCTCAGGATAAGGCCCACTCCAGGCCTTAGTGGATGAGGGTAGGATGGTGACCAAAGCTTCCCTCCAAGCTGTGCATTTAGAAAGATGGCTGCAGCCATTGTTATGCGAAGGGACTAATGGTTGCAATCCTCAGGTTTCCCTAGAGAGGTGCAGAGTACCATCCAAGATCTGCCCTTCGATAGTATCAACCTGTTTCATGATAGTCTCTCCACTCCTTGAGTCTTTAAGGGTAATGCTTTGCTCACTGGGCATTTATACTCCCACCCTTAAGAGAAAACCCCATAGACAAGGGGAATAGGGCAAGATGATCTCCTCAGCTTTTTAACCACCAACATCCTCAGGAGCCACCACACAAGAGACCGGGTTTATAGACCCAGGAACTCAGCCACTGTAACATCAAGTGACACATCATATTCCAACCTCCAAATGAAGAGTTTCTTTTGATAGGTCTGTGGAGCTATACCTTACTGGTGCTGCTTCATTCCCCTCCCCTGATATTTGGAGGTTGCCTTACCTAATTTGCCAAAAACCAGAGGACCCACTACAGACAAATGGGTATTAGAGATTATTCATTGTAGCTTTCTGATCATGTTTCTGGTACCTCCTACTCACAAATCCCCTTCCCTGTTCCATTTCAAGGACCACTCTTACAAGCAGATTCTACAACAAGAGGCAAACCCCCCTCTCCTACCGGGAGCTGTAGAAAGGGTTCCACCACAACATTAGGGAAGGGATTCCATTCCCCTTACTTCCTGACCTCCAAGAAGAATGGGGAAAGGAGAGCAATTCTCAATCTGAGGCAGCTGAATAGATTCATTTGAAAGCTAAAATTCTGCATGATATCCGTGGGCATCAATAATTTCCTTGTTAGAGGGGAACACATGGTTTGACATTCTTGACCTGAAAGATGCATATGTTCACAAAGACATCCACCCAACTCACAGGAGGTTCCTCTTCAATCAATCACATTACCAGTTTAGAGTCCTTCACTTTGGCCTAGTTATAACACCCAAGGTCTTCACAGAGGTTTTTTTCAGTAGTGGCAGTTTGGATGAGAAGGGATTTACAGGCTTCCCTTACTTCAACAACTGGCTTCTGAAGGGCAGTTCCTATGAGGAAGTCCAGTGAACAGCCAGTGTTCTGCTCAGCCTTCTGCCTTCCCTGGATGTCTGCATCAATCACAAAAAGTCCACGTTGACACCCACAAGATGTATAAACTCTACAGGGCAATAATGGACTCGACCACAGCAAGAGCATATCTTCCTCTTGACTAGTTTCAGGCCACGAGTGCACTCATACATCAGGTCACTATCAGACCCTGGATGTCAGTCCAAACTCGCTTTTCCCTCCTTGGCCACATTGTCTCTTGCATACATGTGGTGCCATTCACCGGACTTCATCTTTGTTGCCTACAAGCCTGCCTTCTCTCTATGGACATATCAGAAGGGCAGTATAGATGGTAAGGTGACCATTCCTTCCAAAGTTTTGCACTCTTTCAGGCGGTGAATTAAACCGGAAAAAGGTTGGATGTGGATTCCGTTTCTCACACTGACTCCTGAGGCAACCATTGTTACCAGTGCCTCCCTCTTGGGTTGGGGTGATCATGCTGGTGATCATATGGCGCAAGGCATCTGGACTGTATGAGAGTCCAGAATGCATATCAATTTACTAGAACTGTGAGCAATCACAGGGGGGAACAAGCTGTTATCCTCTGTGCATAGAGGCAAGCGTCCTTTGGAACTGGTTCATCAGCCATCGCATAGCCCTACCAGCAGCATATTTACCACGGATGCAAAACTCTCTAGCAGATTGTCTAAACAGACATTTTTCTGCAAATCACAAATGGGAGTTTAAAATTTGGTTCTCAATGTTTTCTCTTGATGGGGAACACCAGACTGGGACTTTTCTTTGCCTTATGGGGGAACAAGAAACTTCCTCAGTACTGCTCCAGAGCAGCACTGTGTAGGGGCTCGATTGGAGATGATCTGCTGGTGTCATGGACAGATTACCCTGGAGTGTGCCTTCCTTCCCATCCCATTGATACCACAGGTTCTATGGAAGATCCACCAAGACAGAGCTCAAGTCATCCTGATTGCGCCCAATTGGCAGAGACAGTTCTGGTTTATGGATCTGCAAAATTCCCTGTTCACCCACCCATGAATATCCCCTCAGAAAATGGGGTATTTGTCCCATCGAAAATGTTGAGTTTTCTATGAAAAATTGAAAACAAGAACACTTTGGCCAAAACCCAAAATATTTCTATTCTGAAGTGCTTCTGGTGTGCATAATGCTCCCATTCTCTTCTGTAGGCTGGGTTCCTTTGGCAAACTAAATCTCCCATGTTGCATATGGGTCTCTACTCTTGATGAGCAGAGGCATACATAATGGCAGCTGCATGGCTACTGTGCATCCTGAAAGCTGTAGTCCAGCTGGGGAGGGGTTTCGTTTTTGGATGTTCAGTTTTTTGACAAAATCAATTTTCCATAGAAAGTAGACATTTTCCACAAAAACAATTTTAGTCAAAAACTCAGTTTTCTGTTGAAACGGTTTTGATAGAAAACTTACAACTAGTCTTAATTTTAATATATTTGTTAATTATTTACAGCCCCACCCCCCTTTACATTAAAAGAAAGCTACAGTTGCAATGTCAAGCACTCAGCAGTTAAGAAATGTGAGAATTAAGATTGCATTATAGTACACTCTGGAAAAACAGTATGTGATCTTGTAGTTAAAGTGTTGTTAACATGGCTATAGACCCTTCTGCCCCATCCCCCTTCTCTCCAGACTGTCAGTACTCCTCTGGACCTCTTTATTCGCCCTAACACAGCTCATTTCCTTATCCCACCTCCACTGCTTCCCCTTCCTTCGTACCAGCTCCTCCCTGTTCGCACCTCTACATTCAGGTCACATTGCTTCCTCCTTCTCCTTCATGCTGCATTGGCGGTAGCAATGGAAGCATTGAGAACACAGAGGGGACATTCTTCTTGCTCTCAATTCCAGTGCCTGGCAGCACAGAATTGTTCAGCTGTTGAGAGAAGCAATTGCAGGTAAAGTCTGGCCCAGCCCCTCATCCCTGGAATGGCACGTGACTAATCTGGTCGGTCCACAGGAGATGTATAGGGATGAAGAATGCTCTGTGCAGGCAGAATCTTCAGAGAGTGATGCTGCTGCCAGTCTCTAACAAATCTCTACTGAGCAAACTGCAGTTTTCAGAGACTTGGCTGAATTTGGGTACAGGCTTAATTTGAGAGAGAGAGAAACTTCCTCAGAAGTTGATTTGCTTGAGAGAATGTGAGGTGCCAAATAGCTCAGTGTTCTAACTGATTGTTCCTGTAGCCTGTTAACTTGTACACTGAAGGAGTAAATACATTGTTCTAAATCGATGGATTTGAAGATTCAAAAAAAGCTCTTTGTAGGTGGTAAATTTATCTTCCTGAATATGGTTTTCCAAAACATAAATTCTCCAGGTCCAGCTTTTTTGAGTACAAGCAAGACAAAAGACTGCTTGGGCTAGCAGGAGCTGTAGGAATATAGGAATGCACTGAGCTTTAGTCAGAGACGCATTCTCCTATACAGGGGATAAGGCACGCAAATCCCCATCTTCTGAAGCATTGGAACCACAGAGAAGGGGGGCAGTTTACTGCCAGTTCCCTTTCCAATAGCAACTCTGAGAGGAAGGCCTTTAATACAAGTGAGACAAGTGAGGTCTTGAAACCTCAGCAATTTGTAGCCTAAGTTCATAGTTAGAATTTCACAAATCTCAAGGCCAGTGCTCACATTCTCAGAAATGCATACTTTAGATTAATTTCAGGTTAGTGCATGTCAGAATGCGGAGTTATGGTTTATACTGAAGTGTAAAAATGAGTGTTTCAGTTTCAGTTAGACAATATGTGTATAATTTAAAAAAAAAAAAAAAAATTTGTATTTTCCTGGGTTGAGAAGCTTTTTGAGATCATTTTAGTGTTGCTGTTTAGTTTAATGTACTCTCTGCTGGTATAATATCAGGCAAAATGTTCTTTAAATCTTCTCCAATATCTTGTATTTTGCTTGGCAAGGAAAATTGTTAACCATTAATTAAATTTTGTATGTCCTTAGCAAAGTTACAAAGCAGTTTTGGCTTTACTAATGAAGTAATGAGACTTTTTGATATCAGTAGCAATTGTTGATATTCAATCTTTTAAGCTTTAAAGGTTTACGATGTGTTTCAGGTATTTGTGAAGTGTCATTTTGATTATAATCCATACAATGACAACCTGATCCCATGCAAAGAAGCAGGTTTGAAATTTTCTAAAGGAGAAATTCTTCAGATTGTAAACCGGGAAGACTCAAATTGGTGGCAGGTTGGTAAAATGCTGAGACCTTTATTACTTTGATTATTTATAATAGTAATAGATTTGTATTAATCTAATCCGGTTGATAGGAGTTTTAGGAAGAAGTATTGATCCAGCTTTTCACTCTCCAGCATAACCTCAAAGTCTTAAAACAATCTTACATCATTGTCTTTCACTTCAGTATTATCTATACCACTCTATCCTTTTTATACTACTACTTATTTGGTCTGAAGCTGCTACATTCCAAAATTCAGATAATTTCCAGCAAAGTATTGCATCTTAGGTTGTCAATTAATTATGGTGAGTCTCCCTCTGACAGTGATTGTGGAAGAGTAGGTTCTTCTTTGAGTGGTTGCAGACATGCGTTGCACTCAGGTGTGTGCACACCCAGCGCACCAAAGCTGTATAATTTTGCCTAGCAGTACCCACAGAATCGGCACCGGCTTCCCTCCGCTCATAGCTCTTCCCATGGCTATAAAAGGGCAGAACCACCCCAACCCCGCTCTGTTCCTTCACACTGCTTGCAGCTAGAGTTGGAGTACTTAGTGTGATCTTTCCTCTCTCTTGTCTTTACAGCTTTTTGTGTCATCTTTGTATATAGTTACTGTTAGTACCCTTAGGTAGTTAATAGCCAGGTAGCTTCTCTTGGTAGGATGCCTTCACTGGGGTTAAAACATTGCCCTTTTTGTGGGGCAGCTATTCCCCATAACCATCCACACCCTAGACATTTATTTTGCCTTCAGGAAAGGCATGCTAAAGAAAGGTGCTCTATTTGTAAGTCCTTTAAAAAGAGGACACAGGAAACTAGAGATGTAAGATTAAAACAGCACCTTCTCGAGCAGACGGCATTGCCTGCCTCAACGTTGGGGACCAGTGTCAGGCCCGTGAAAGGGCACTGGAGCCGGTATGTATTGGTGCTTCTGGACTGAGCTCAGATTACTTGCCAGAAGGAAGGAGGACTGCTCCCCTTCATCGGGCCCACAAACAAAAACAATCAACAAAACAGATCAGGGTCATTCCAGGGGATGGGGAGATTCATCTTCTCAGACTAAGGGAAGTACTGATTGGCACTGGGAGTCTCTTGGTATGAGGGATAGAGTGGGACCATCAACCCGATCTCTGGTCTCACGTTTAGATCAAGTTTGTGAATCTGTACCAGGAATTCTGGTGTACTGCCTTGGGGACACCCATTGATTCCGGTACCTTCAATACAGATGATGGTATCATTGGTTTCCACCCTGTGTATCCGGAAGCAGCAGATCTGCTGTGCCTGTCTGTTCCTGATTCACTGCTTATTCAAGACCCTCCTCTGACTGCAGTTGCATCGTCTGTGGTGTCCTCTGCTACCCTGGGATTGTTGGTGAATTTATCGTTTCTGACACGGTCGTCCTCACTGCAGTTTACCCATGATGCATGGGTGTTGTCGACTTCTTATTTGGTACCAAGGGCATCTTTGGCACAGATAGAATCCGTGGTATCAATGCTGACTAAAACATAGTCTGGATCTGCTGGCTTGACACCAGCTTTATTTTTGGTACTGATGCCTTTTATGGGGCCCAGAATGAGTTCAGGGCTGGTACCAATATTCAAGGACTTGTTGACTGCTCCTTTGGTACTCGTGGCGTTGTTGGGTTGGGCTATGGATGGCGCTGGAATCTTGGTAGTCCTGACAGGAGTGGCTGTTTGGGGGGGATCTTCACACCTGAGCTCAGAGAGATCTCCCTTCCCTTCCCCATCCCACTCTCTTGAAGGTTGTCAAGACACAGCAGGAGTCATAGTTGGTACCAGGATTGATATCATTCCCACAGCAGAGACAAGGTACCTTGACCTAGTTCTTACGGGCCTCAGATGCTGTATATTTATGCCCAGCAGCCTCCCGGAAATCCCTGGGAAGTCTCTTGCTCAGCAAAATCCCAGTCATCAGCTCGCTGTAGGAGGCGATCACCTGTACCTCCAGTAGTCTCCCCGCCAGAACCATCACACCTGCAGGCACAGCAGAAGGTGCACTCCCTGTGTATTAGGACATTCTGAACCTTTGGGATGGATGGATGTCATTCCTCAAGGGATTCCATTGGCCCCAACTACATTGTCGTCCTTGTCACCAGATGATGCAGTGGTACTCAAGTCCTCATGTCCAGTACCAGAGGATTTCAGATCATATCGGGATCTGCTCAGACACATGGCATCAGCCTTATGTATTCAGGCCAAGCTTGTGCTGGAAAACACCCATAAAATGGTAGATATTTTCCAACAATTGGCTCCTGTGAGAGTTGCCTTCCCTATAAACGAAGCAACACTAGAGTCTGTTAAATCATTATGCAGTACCCTGGCTTTGTTAACACCCACAGCAAAGTGCACTGACGAGATACTATGTGGGAATGGAGGGCTTCAAATCCTTTTTCACACATCCAGTTCCAAATTTCCTGGTTGTGACAGCAGAACATGAGAGAGTGAGAGAAGGAAGATATAAATCTATGCCTAAAGAAAAGGAGTCCAAAATGCTATGTTTATTGGGGAGAAAAATCTACTCTACTTCCTCCTTGTAGATGTGTTTTGCAAATCATCAAGCTCTATTATAAAAATACGATTTTGTGAACCGTGGCTGTGTCCGTATCTGAACAAGTTACAGGATCCTCTAAGGAGGAGTTCAAGGCTTTTTTTATGGTTGGTAGTTTAGTGGCCAAGGCATCCTTACAGTCAACCCTGGATATAGCAGATGCTTCGTCCAGGTTCATGGCCTCATGAGTACAAAACTCTGGCATAGCGCCTGAGATCCAGCAAAGCATAGAGGACTTGTTCGATGGTCATGTCCTGTTCTCAGAGAAAACTGATGAGACATTATACGGTTTGAAAGACTGAGTGCCCTACACTCATTGGGAATTTATACCCAGGCTGCAAAGACTGCATTTTGGGAAGCAGCAGCAATATCGTCCTCAATGATATTTCTGTCAGTGTTCATTCCTACCCTGCAAGGCAGCAAGATTTCCCTAGAAAGGGGCATAAATCATGGAGGGAAGAAACCTTCTGGGTCTTCTTTTTAGTCAAGTGGCTTATCCTCTTCCTCCTTCCGCTAGACAGTCTGTTTGACTGGTGTTTTGAGAGCAGCACCTCAGTTGTCAATGTCGTTTCTATGCCCCAGTTATTTGGGGAAAGGCTGTCTTGCTTCTACAGTGTTCGGGAAACAATAACTATGGTCAGATGGGTCATAAGCACTGGGGGGATCAGGTTGTGCCATTCAGTTCCTATCCATTCCCCACTCCCATCCTCCTACCCCGTCCCTTTTCAGGAACCCATCTCACGAGTAACTGCTCTTAGAGCAGGTACAAACCTTGTGTACTTTGGGCGCTATAGAGGAGGTTCTTCGTCATCTTTGCGGAAAGGTGTTTTATTCGTGATACTTCCTGATCCTCACATCTAAGGAAGGAATGAGACCTAGCCTTGATCTCATCAAACTCATCAGAGATTCTGCATGGTTATCCTGGTTACTGTTCTTCCTGCTCTGAATTACAACCGGTTTGCTGCTCTCAATCTCCAGGATGCTTATTTTCATGTAGCAATCTTCCCAGGCCACAGGAAGTACCTCAGATTCCTCATCACCAGCTATCATTACCAGTACACAGTTCTCCCCTTCAGACTGCCATCAGCCCTATATGTCTTTATTAAATGCATGACGGTGATGGCTGCCTTTCTCAGGAGAAGGGGAATTTATATCTTTCCATACCTGAATGATTGGCTGAGAGGTCCATCCAGGGAGCAGGTTCTCTGTCATGTCAGGTTCACACTAGACTTTTTTTTATCGGTTTGGTCTGATCTGAAACAGGAGCAAATCAGTTTTGAAGCCAACTCAAAAAATTTTCATTGGTGCTCCGATAGACTATGAATTTGAGGGCCTTTCTTCTGTCTGAACTGTTCCAGGCAATTCATCACTTTTGTTGGGATCTTCAGTTGCACCCTTTGACCACAATCCGGGTATGCATGAGGTTACTGGGCCCTATGGTGGCATGCATGTATGTAATGAAACATGCAATGGTGCATCTTCACCTTCAGTTGTGGCTGGTGTTAGACTTTTGCCTGTGTTGCCAGCTGCTGGACACCCTTGTCCAGGTGCCCTAAAAATTCTGCACTCTTTATAGTGGTGGGTGGGATTCAACATTGTGTGTCAGGGTTTCCCCTTTGTCCACCTTCCACCAACTAAGACAGTAGTTCTGATGCCTCCCCAATTGGTTCGGGAACACATCTGGGAGAGTTAAATTCAGGGTTTGTGGTCAGAGGAAGCTTCCTTTCATATAAACCTGCTGGAACTTTGAGCAGTAGACAATGCTTGTCAGGTGATTCAGGATCCAATCTGGAGGGCATGGATTCATATTCTCATGGACACTGCCATTGCAGTGTATTATGTGAACAACCAGAGTGGTGCTTGCTCCAACCAGCTTTTTCAGGAAACAAAAGTCTGGAACTTCTGCATCAAAGAAGATGATATACCCACAGAATACTTGTCACGCTCTCAGAACCAAATGGCTAATCATCTCAGCAGATCTTTTTTGATCAACCATGAGTGGTCCCTAAAGAAGAGTGTGTTGACGTCCATTTTTCAGCAACGGAGTATCCCTTCCATAAACTTTTTTGCAACAAAGGGCAACAGAAAATGTCATCAGTTCTGCTCTTGAGCATGTCTTAGCCAGGGTCTCTTATCAAGGCCTTAGAATCATAGAATATCAGGGTTGGAAGGGACATCAAGAGGTCATCTAGTCCAACCCCCTGCTCAAAGCAGGACCAATCACCAACTAAATCATCCCAGCCAGGGCTTTGTCAAGCTTGACCTTAAAAACTCCTAAGAAAGGAGATTCCACCACCTCCCTAAGTAACCCATTCCAGTGCTTCACCACCCTCCTAGGCCTTCCATCTAAATTGAGGAGGGAACCTGATGTATGCCTTTCCCCCCATTCCTCTGATCCCTCAGGCTATCCTCAAGCTCAAATTAGATCACGTCAAACTTACTATGATTGCACCAGCATGACTGAGGCAATGTTAATTTTCCAACCTCCTCTCTCTTGTTGCCTTGACCTCCCAAACCTCTTTCTGTTTTCTCCAACCTACTGACTCAACCAATTAGCCAGGTTGTTCATCCATCGTTGAGCAGTCTGCATCTTAAGGTGTGGATGCTGAATGGCTAGTTCTCAGAGGCAGTTAGAGAGATTCTGCTTAGTAGTAGAAAACCAGACACAAGGGCCATTACTTGTCTAAGTGGAAACAATTTTCTATTTGGGCAACATCCATGCCGATTCAGCCCATGTTTTGAAGTATTTGGTGCATTTGAAATCTTCAGGCCTCACTCTGAGCTCCCTGAAGGTGTTCCCTTGGAGGTGTTCTCATCTTTCCATCCTCCCATTCAAGGGAAGTTGGTATTCTCAAACCCTATGATTGTGAAGTTTTTGAGAGGGTATTATCCATCTTTTTCCACTAGCAAAAGAAATGGTGCCATTGTGGGACCTTAATGTCCTGACAGCACTGATTGGTCCACCATTTGAGCTGATAGCAACATGTTCATGGGCTCTCCTCTCTCAGAAGACTGCCTTCCTAGTGGCTATAACATCCACAAGAAGAATTAGTGAGGTGCAGGCCTCAATGGCAGAGCCTTCATACGCTCAATTCTTCAAGGACAAGATGGCTTTAAGACCACACCCAAAATTTTTGTCCAAAGTGGTATCTCAGTTTCACCTTAATCAGATTATTTACTTACCTATATTTTTTTTTTTTCTCAAACCACATTCAAGTGTGGAGGAACAGCATCTGCCTAGTTTAGATGTAGTGGTTGGCATTTTATTTGGAAAGGACTAAGCCGTTTCATTCATCACCTCGCCACTTTATTTCCTATGCTGAGCATATGAAGGGACAACCATTCTCTGCTCAAACTGTTTCCAAGTGAATAACTTCCTGCATTACTATGGCTTCTGAAGTGACTCAGATGACACCTCCACCATCTTTTGTGGGCTCATTTAACGAGAGCTCAGGTGACATCAGCTCCATTTCTTAGTGGTGTTTCAGTAGTGGATATCTGCAGGGCTGTGATGTATCTTCTGTACATATTTTTGCTAGACATTGTGCTATCACCAATGGCTGCAAACTTTGGGGAGCAGTTCTGCGCTCACTATTTAAATAACTCTGAGCCTGCTTTCCCCTGGAACTGCTTGTGAGTTACCTGATTGGAATACATGTCTACCACCTGTATTGTAACTCTTCTTTGAGATGTGGGTGCAGACATGTAGTCCATGAACCACTCTCCACCCCTCTGCAGTCGAGTCTTCCGCCGGGGATTTTGGCACAAAGGAACTGGGGGGAGGGGTTGGGGCAGGAGTGAGCATGATGAATATTGCAAGGCAGAGTAAGCCCATGCACACACGTGTGGAATACATGTCTGCACCCACATCTCATAGAACAACAGTTATGATACAGGAATCTTTTCTCTTGTTTTCTCAAAGAGTTGGATTTCCATCTTACTCCTTTTGTGTGTTTGAAAAAGATGATGGAGAGATCCCATCTTCTTCTAACCAGCCAGCTACAGTAACTACAGAAGGGAAAATAAAGAGAAAAAATAGTCTGCATAATTACTTACTGCCAAATAAATGTGTTTCAGAAGTTAGGCACTCTGAATCTCTTCACAAGAGCGTACTAGAGACATTCAGCATGCATGCTGTAACCTCTGTTTTTTCAAACTCCTCCAGCTGGCAACTTGCAAGAGTCCAAACAAAATAAACCAAAAGCCCTCTCCCACAAGCCATCTCTAATGGGTTTTTACATTTCATCCTGTCTATTGACATGAACAATGATGTATTGTGTCCTAAGTAGTAACTTGCAAGTGTACCAAAATAGATGTCATTGAATTCCTACAGCTAGAGACTTCTCAGCATCCATCCAGTATTTCTTGAGTGGGCAAAAAGTGAGATATTAACTTCATTCCATCTGGCTACTAATAAGATGAAAATATGACTCAGCCTGCTGTTTATACCATTTCTCTTTAAGAGAAATGGATGCAAGTAGCTGCTATTGAGAGGACCAAAACTATAAAATTTCACATTTGTGTGTCCTGAACTACTGACAATGGGACACTCACCATAAAATGATTTCAGTAGAGAATATCTGACTTCTGAGCTTTCGTAACTAAGTATACTGTTTGGTTTATAAAACCTAGATCTATGAGTTTTCTCTCCTAAGAAGTAGTAAAACAGTACAATGACAGTGGAATTTTAAGGTATGGTCAGTTCATAGGCAAGGATAATATTACATGTTCGTGAAATGACAGAAAAAATAGGTGCGTCAGGTGCCTATATTTGGAATCATGTTTAGCTTAGGGCCTCTGGATTCCAACAAGAATGCAGGATAAATGCAAAAGTGTTCAGCAGAGCTCTACAGATGTTGTGCCATGCAGAATCCTTTCAAACGAATTATGTTTGGCTTTTAAGTGTTTTCTGAGCCATTTTGGTCAATTTGGTAATTGTACATTTTAGCAATTTCTTTTTATGGCTGAAATATAAACCTCTGGAATTAGAGATTTAATAATTTGTGGTAAACAGTACAATGACTTCATTATCAAGAAGTAGTTTTCTGTGTCTCTACTCTAGCCATGTTTCTTGAATTATGATGCTTAAGTGGACTAGAGAACCGGCAAACCCCACTGTGTTTCTGGGAAGCATGGTTCTCTAAATTTGGATTTTCAGGTGTCCATCATTAATGCTTCAGTGCTTAGCCTCCAGAAATCCTAAATGACAGTCTTTCAAGAAGCCAGTCTTCAGGAGTGAATGTCTGATTGAAAGTTTGCTGCTTGTTTGAATCACTGGACTAAAATTTAAAGTATTTGTCACAGGGGATTCATAGCTTATTAACTTGATTTCAGGCTAGCCATGTCAAAGAAGGAGGAAGTGCCGGCCTTATTCCTAGCCAGTTCCTGGAAGAGAAGCGGAAGGCATTTGTTAGGAGGGACTGGGATAATTCGGGTAAGGTTTAATGCACTTTCAGAGATGGGTTCCTTTATCATAGAATCATAGAATATCAGGGTTGGAAGGGACCTCAGAAGGTCATCTAGTCCAACCGCCTGCTCAAAGCAGGACCAATCCCCAACTAAATCGTCCCAGCCAGGGCTTTGTCAAGCCTGACCTTAAAAACCTCTAAGGAAGGAGATTCCACCTCCCTAGGTAACGCATTCCAGTGTTTCACCACCCTCCTACTGAAAAAGTTTTTTTCCTAATATCCAACCTAAACTGCCCCCACTGCAACTTGAGAGCATTACTCTTTGTTCTGTCATCTGGTACCAATGAGAAAAGTCTAGATCCATCCTCTTTGGAACCCCCTTTCAGGTAGTTGAAAGCAGCTATCAAATCCCCCCCCTCAGTCTTCTCTTCTGCAGACTAAATAATCCCTGTTCCCTCAGCCTCTCCTCATAAGTCATGTTCTCCAGCCCCCTAATCATTTTTGTTGCCTTCTGCTGGACTCTTCCCAATTTTTCCACATCCTTCTTGTAGTGTGGGCTCCAAAACTGGACACACTACTCCAGATGAGGCCTCACCAATGTCGAATGATCACATCCCTTGATCTGCTGGCAATGCTCCTACTTATATAGCCCAAAATGCAGTTAGCCTTCTGGGCAACAAGGGCACACTGACTCATATCCAGCTTCTCATCCACTGTAACCCCTAGGTCCCTTTCTGCAGAACTGCTGCCTAGCTACTCGGTCCTTAGTCTATAGCAGTGCATGGGATTCTTTCGTCCTAAATTCAGGATTCTGCACTTATCCTTGTAGAACCTCATCAGATTTCTTTTGGCCCAATCCTCTAATTTGTCTAGGTCCCTCTGTACCCTATCCCTTCCCTCCAGCGTATCTACCTCTCCTCCCAGTTTAGTGTCATCTGCAAACTTGCTGTGGGTGCAATCCACGCCATCTTCCAGATCATTAATGAAGATATTGAACAAATATATCAGGGAGGAAGGCAGTGGGGACTGGAAGGCCACACACAGCCCTGCAGGCTCCACGTACTGGCTTTGGAAGGACACAGCAGCCCAGGGGCTACACATGGTGTTGCGCAGGGCGGGCAGGGCTCTGGCCGGGGTGCTACCATGATTAGCTTGCTTTGCTTTTTCCATTTACACAATCAGGCAGACCTTATGAAAGAGGCTCCACAGGTGGTTTCAATACATAAAATAAATGCTAGTTATTACAAATGTATTTTATTTTGACCTTGACTCGAAGAGCGAGGATTAGAATGTACACTCACTGTTTTCAGAGTTCCGATCCTTTTTGCCACCTGCTGGTGAATGGTAAAATTAAGCAGGAAAATCAACCATAGGGTGACCATTTTCAAGTTGCTTTTAAAATATATATATAAATTAGGGATGTCAAGCCATTAAAAAAATTAATCGTGATTAATCGCACTGTTAAAGAATAATAGAATACCATTTAAATATTTTTGAATGTTTTCTACATTTTCAAATTTATTGATTTCAGTTAGCACACAGAATACAAAGTGTACAGTGCTTCAGTTTATATTATTTTTTATTACAAATATTTGCACAGTAAAAAACAAAAGGTTTTTTCAGTTCACCTAATACAAATAATGTAGTGCAATCTCTTTATCATGAAAGTTGAATTTACAAATGTAGAATTATGTACCAAAAAATAACTGCACTCAAAAATAAAACAATGTAAAATTTTAGAGCCTGCATGTCCACTCCATCCTACTTCTTGTTCAGCCAATCGCTCAGACAAACAAGTTCGTTTACATTTGCAGGAGATAATGCTGCCCACTTCTTGTTTATAGGTGTTTGCATGGCACAGTTGTAGCCGGCATCGCAAGATATTTACGTGGCAGATGCTCTAAAGATTCATGTGTCCCTTCATGCTTAAAACACCCTTCCAGAGGACATGCGTCCATGCTGATGACGGATTCTGCTCGATAACGATCCAAAGCAGTGCAGACTGATGCATGCTCATTGTCATCATCTGAGTCTGATGCCACCAGCAGAAGGTTGATTTTCTTGGTGGTTCAGGTTCTGTAGCTTCTGCATCAGAGTGTTGCTCTTTTAAGACTTCTGAAAGCATGCTCCACACCTCATCCCTCTGATTTTGGAAGGCCCTTCAGATTTTTAAATCTTGAGTACTGTAACTATCTTTAGAAATCTCACATTGGTACCTTCTTTGCTTTTTGTCAAATCTGAAGTGAAAGTGTTCTTAAAACAAACGTGTGCCGGAATCATCATCCGAGACTGCTATAACATGAAATATATGGCAGAATATGGGTAAAACAGAGCAGGAGACATACAATTCTCCTCCAAGGAGTGCAGTCACTAATTTAATTAACACATTTTTTTTAAACGAGTGTCATCAGCATGGGAGCATGTCCTCTGGAATGGTGGCCAAAGCATGAAGGGGCATACGAATGTTTAGCTTATCTGGTACATAAATTCCTTGCAATGCCAGCTACAAAAGTGCCATGTAAATGCCTGTTCTCACTTTCAGGTGACATTGTAAATAAGAAGCAGGAAGCATTATGTCCCGTAAATGTAAACAAACTTGTTTGTCTTAGCGATTGGCTGAACAAGAAGTAGGACTGAGCAGACTTGTAGGCTCTAAAGCAGTGGTTCTTAACATGGGGTGCGAGACATGCCAGATTTTTTTAGAAGGTAAATCATCGAAAACACAAATTAAGCACAGGTACGTACGTACAAACAACTACTTTGTTTAATCAAACCTATGTATTTATTAACATTATACATTTTTTTAATGATTACTGTAGTATACAAACAAAAAATATATCTAGGTTTAAAGAACTGACCTACTTCAGTGATTTTTGATAAGGGGTGCAAGAACATATTTTGAGAACCAAGGGAGTGCAGGCTGCAGTAAAGGTTAAGAACCATTGCTCTAAAGTTTTACATTGTTTTGGTTTTTTTGAGTGCAGTTATATAACAAAAAAAAAATCTACATTTGTAGGTTGCACTTTCATGATAAAGATATTGCATTATGGCACTTGAATGAGGTGAATTGAAAAATGCTATTTCTTTATCATTTTTATAGTGCAAATATTTGTAATAAAAAATGAGTACTGTACACTTTGCATTCTGTGTTGTAATTGAAATCAATATATATGAAAATGTAGGAAAGCATCCAAAGTATTTAATAAATTTCAATTGTTCTGTTTAACAGTGCAATTAAAAGTGCTATTAATCGTGATTAATTTTTTTGAGTTAATCATGTGAGTTAACTGCAATTAATGGACAGCTCTAATATAAATATTTACTGAAAACAGTTTTGGTCCTTTCCTATTCGTTTCTAGAAAAGTATTTTGTTTTCTGGTACATTTTATGCAGAGCATTAGTTTTTATGTGTCTGCTGTACCATTTAAAGTATATGCCAAGAGGATTAATAATGATTTCTCTCTCCAATAAAGGTCATATTGTGTCTCTGGTTTAAAAAAAAAAAAGTGCAACTATCCTTCAGTATATGGCTGTCTTTTTAGTTAATCCTAAAATCTACATAGAGTAAGCCATCATGAAAAGATATTTATCAAAAGGTGAGTTTAAGAGCTTTCAGTATTCTTGTCTGTTTTACTTTCAGGGCCCTTTTGTGGAACAATAAGTAGCAAAAAAAAGAAAAAGATGATGTACCTCACAACCAGAAATGCAGGTACATTTTAATCTTACATTATGTGTAAAATCCAGTAGAATAGTGTACAAGTCCAGTACGTTGTAGAGTTTCTGAATCTGCATTTTAAACACACTGGGTATAGCCGATTAAACTATCATGACAGTGAATGCTTGTGTTATAGGAGAAAGTTTTAAAATAAATTATAGTAGCTTGATTAGCAAATCAATCAGCTAGATCAGAAATTATAAACAGGGTAGTTTTTGTGGTTAAGTCATGGTGCACAAAGAAAAGCTGTTACTGTTGAGCAGATGCATTAGGGGACAGAATAAAGGATCAAAGAACAATTTTCTAAATACTTAAAACACCATTGATTGGCACAGTGGTAAATGCTGGCATGATGTCCTAGGCACTGACTCCATGGGTGCTCCAGAGCTGGAGCAGCCACCCAAAAGAAATGATGGGTGCTTAACACCCACCGACAGCCCTCACTATCAGTGCCTCCCCTAACTCCTCCCACCTGCCAGCAGCCCTGCTGATCAGTGCCTCTACCTCCCCTGCTGTGGATCAGCTGCTCCGTGGTGTGCAGGAGGTACTGGAGGGGAGCAGGGAGGAGTGAGAGTGGGGGGCACTCAGGGGAGGGGGCAGGGCAGGGTGGGACCTTGGGAGAGGGGTGGAGTGGGGGCGGGGCCTGGAATGGAGCTGGGGGGAGCACCCATGGCACATTAGAAAGTCGGCACCTATGCATGGTGTGACTATTGCCTAAATTTCCAAAAAACAATCCTACTACAGAATTACTATGTTTAGAGTAGATGGTCATTGAAAGAATCTACAATATTCCCATTTCTGTTTATACATAAGAAAACTGAGATAAAAATATCTGAAAAAATACCTTTTAAGTACTATTTACGTAATAGGTTATATGTGAATGTAAAATAGAATTGCTGAAGTTTTCTACAAATGGCAGTGACTTGATCTGCATTTAATATTTTGTTACTTTTTTCTATGTAGAATTTGATCGTCATGAAATTCAGATATATGAGGAAGTAGCCAAAATGCCTCCTTTTCAGAGGAAGACATTGGTCTTAATAGGGGCCCAGGGAGTGGGTCGAAGAAGCTTGAAAAACCGATTTATAGTATTGAATCCCATTAGGTTTGGAACTACAGTGCCATGTAAGTTATCAGCACTCCCACTGTCAAATCCTATTTATTGAAGTTTGTAATTCATCTGGAAAAATTTACTCTAATCTGAAGTTTGTTGTAGTGACTCAATCTGGGAGTAATAATTGTGGGTTGAAAACTTTGGCTGGAGAATGAAATGTGTTTTTCAATCTCCTCAATAAGTAGGAAAATCCTGTTTGTGTTAATGACATCTAACTACCAGCCAAACTTTTGTCTACTCATGCTGAAGACAGGAGTTCCAATGCATGCATCTGGCAGGATTGTTCAAGTATATCTATTTTGGGGTTTATAGTCAATATCTGAATGCTTCTAAAAATTCCTGGTACATTTTAATAATGAACAGTTACTAGAATTTTGCTTAGAAACTCATTTTATTGTTTAAATGAACTCTTTATCTCTCTCTGTATGTGAAACAAAAACTTCATATGAAATTTGTAGTTCCTGGCTTTAACCCATAGTATCCTAGGGATAAATAAACTATGAATTATTTTATTGGTTGTTAATGTTATAAATTGAGGGATGAGAGGCCAATTAATGTCATTTCTTCCTACTTCTTCCTGCACCAGCCCTACCCCTCTCCGCTCTGGTTTTTCTTCCTTTCAGCTGCTGAAAGAGCTGCCCCTTCCTGCAGTATCAGAATTTTCTCCTACCTCGCACTTTCTGAAAGAACCTGTTCCTTCCTGTCTGCCAGACCACCCCTTCTGGCTGACCTCTGAGCACAGAACAGCTTCATTGCCCCATACCCATTATGCCCAGACACTTCTAAGAGCCATCTGTTCTCTTCTGCCTCATAGTATGTGGCAAGGAATGGTACTGGCAGTAGTGGGGATGTAGGCAAATCTGAAAGACAAGCCAGGAGTGTCTTGTAACTGAGGTGGGGAAACTAGATAGCCCCAGGAGTCCTAATCTTTTTCATCTGTAATGCTCACAAACCCCCAAACTGGTCCATACCATTAGAATCAGGGGTGCATATCTGATAGCATAGTCTGTCCAAAGGAACCTATGCTGGGAGTCAGGTTAATAATCCATGTAGGCAAAGAGTAATGCACAACATGACATTAACAGTAAATTGTCTAAAAATTAACAAATTATAGGTTTCTGTAAGATGTCATAACTGCAGATAGGTAATAAATGAGATCTCTCAATTCGTATGTGTGCCAACATTATTATTATTGTTGTTTGTTGTTTAATCTATTTAGAGCACTTTTGGCCACTTGAATCGGAATGTCACAGAACTCAGAGAAGACATGGTCTTCTCTGACAACCTAAATAGACAAGGCAAATTACCAAGCAGTAAACCAGCAACATACAAACAAAACATGTAAAGTTAAATACTATTTAATCAAGCTACCATAATAATTTATTTGGAGATTAAGGCTGATTCTGCACTCTGGCACTTCGAGTGCAGAAGGTGGGGGCCCACAAGGATTCTAAAAATTAATACTTGCCACTCCAGGCTTATATTAAACTTCCAAGGTTACAGCTTTTTTCTGACTTTGGATTGGTAGATACTGCCACCACCCAAGTGCAGAACACACACACACACACACACACACCCTAATTTAAAATATGTGCACAAACCTCTTGAGACACAGAACTCCAATCCTGTTCTTAAAAAAGGTAAATTTTATTTTTAAAAAAAGAAAGAAAATACATCTGGAAACTCAGGCTATTGCTAGATTTTAAAAGAGTGACTACCAGGATTAAGCACCAAGAGTAGCTTTCTTGAGGTCCCACTTAAAGGTTACAAGCAAAACAAAAGCCCCTGGCGTTAGCACAGAGGAATCCACGAGCCATAAAAATATAGAAAGAGATAAACCTAATCGTGTCTTCCTAGACATTTCCTGACCTACTGACATAGCTGGGATTTCAAATGAGTAGTTTCTAGGTATGATACTGAAGATTTTTCATACCTGGCCCAAGCTTCTTACAACATAACTGCTGCCCTGTCCCACTCTCCCTGAGAGAACAACAGACAGACAAAGGGGAAGTTCTTTCTCAATTTTAAAAAGCTCTGGCCTTCCCATTGGCTCTTTTGGTCAAGTGCCCACTCACTTCCTTTTACCTATGCATAGCAGTGAGACTTTTAACCCTTTACAGGTAAAGCAAGTAAAGAACAGCTGCTAACAGGGATTTTATAGCTAGCTGGCTGGGTGGGTGTCCATAAAAGAGAGATGAAAAATAAAACACATTTAATATTTTATTATTCATTTGTATAATATCACCTAGAGGCCCCATTCAGGATCAGGGCTCCATTGTACTATGTGCTGTACAGAGTAAAAGGATAGTATTTGCCCTGAAGAGTTTGCTACCTAATTTAAGATAAGATGCAACAAACAGTAGGAAGGAGTGGTGGAGGTACCATAAGGAAGCTGTAAAAAGAACATGCATTTATGCAGGGAAGTTTTGAGCATAGCTAGATGGTTTTAGTTGTCGATTTTTAAAAAAATGCTATTATAAGAAATAAATGAGGCAAATATTAGAAGCTTCTACTGGCCAACTGCCTAATTTACTGTCACTGAAAATTTACCAGAGGCATTACAATAGAAGAGGGTCTTGAAGGAGGACTGGATAATTAGTGTTTTCCTATAGCTTTTCCACTTCCACACTGTGTGTCTGAGAGAGAAATAAATGAGTGTTGTGGGATCAGCTGGAAAGAGCGTAAGGGCATGACTACACTGGAAACTTCAAAGCGCTGTGGCGGGAGCACTCCTGTGGCAGCGCTTTGAAGTGTGAGTGTGGTCCTGCGTGAGCACTGGAAAAGAGCTCTCCCAGTGCTCCTGGTAATCCAACTCCATGAGGGGATTAGCTCGAGCCTGTTTACACTAGCGCTTTAAAGCGCTCTGACTTGCTGTGCTCAGGGGGGTGATTTTTCACACCCCTGAGCCAGCAAGTTAGATTGCTATAAAATGTAAGTGTAGCCAAGCCCTAAGTCCCATTGAAAGTCAGTGGGACTTAGGCTCCTAAGTGTCTAAATCATCTTTGAAAATGAGACTTAGGTGCTGTTGAAAATCTTATGCAATAGTGATTGAAGAGGATGGATAACGAGTCTGGGATATGGAATGAACAAAGAATGATGAAAGTGAGGGAATAAAGGGTAGATGAAATGAGGGAGGGAAGAGAGTAATGGCAGAGGGAATGGGTTTGGGAGGAATTATGCTCATAAATTTTGAACATGAGCTTGGACAGTGGTTTGTTCCCCACACAGAAAAGACACACATATGTACATGGCTTTACAGCCAATCAATCTTCAGATATCTTGGGGGTTTTTATATCCAGTGATTTGTGAAAAATTTGTATTTAGTTACTTCACGAAAGCCAAGGGATGATGAAAAAGATGGGCAAGCATACAGATTTGTGTCACGTGCTGAAATGGAGGCAGATATTAAAGCTGGCAGATACCTAGAACATGGAGAATATGAAGGAAACCTTTATGGCACCAAAATAGATTCCATCCTTGAAGTGGTTCAGACTGGAAGGACATGCATTTTGGATGTGAACCCGCAGGTAAGTAATTTGTCATGTACCCTAAAATGAGTATCAGTGTTGAAGAGGTATGTTTTAAATTTGAAGACTTTTAAGCTAGTCTTGTATCCTACAGTACCATGGAAGACTCACAAGTTATTTTGGATTTTTGGCATTTTGAGGTGGAAGAGATCAGGAATGTGCAAAGGCCTGTAATCGAGTGTGTTTTGCATTGCTGATCAGTAACCCATTCAGCCAATGTAAGAGTGATGTTGAACACTTCAAAGGGGAGTTTCGTACCATCCTTTGGCAAGGTAGCACTTTGAGGATGGGATAGGAGTGCAAAAATTGTCTTGTTGTTTTGTTAATGGTACCAGATTAAAATTGCAGTACTTCACTGAAGTACAGTGACTTATTCTCATTTTTAACTAATTCAATTTAGTGTTTGGAGGGGGTTTGTTTGTTTGGTTGGTTTTGTGTGTTTTCTTGTTTCTAGGCCTTGAAAGTATTGAGGACTGCAGAGTTTATGCCCTATGTAGTGTTTATTGCTGCTCCAGAGTTAGAGACTCTGCGTGCTATGCACAAGGCTGTGGTGGATGCTGGAATTACAACCAAACTTCTAACAGTAAGCAAATTCTTCCATATATAGTTTCCTTTTCACAGGATTTTCTTAAACCTTTTTTCCTTTACGACAAGTTCTTTGTAACACATGTGAATGTAATGTCTTGCTGAGGAAGATTAGGCAACATTTATATTAGATTACATAATATAGAGTAATTTAAACTGATCATATACTACTAACACTAGTTGTTACGTTCTGACGTGGATTGCTAGATTTTTAAATAAGGGTAATTAATTTATTAAGGTGGTACCCCCTATAATTTGGGTTGCCTAATGCTTTCTGTTATAAAGGATTCTTGCAACTTTTCTTTGGGATGTTCTCACAACTCCACTGTTTGCAGCAGACCTTTGATATTTGAGAGGGGGAATCTTTTAGGGCTGCAGAAGTAGCTTTTCTTTGTTTCTTGAAGTTCCACTGAGATTTGCCTAAACTATAAATGATTTAAAAATCAAAATGGTCCTTCTCTCACTTGTGTTCCTTGGGAAGATTTTGACAGCCTGTCAATCACTGAACTGCAGCAGCACATACTGTATTGGGAACACCTGGGAGCTGCTGGGGGTGGAGGATGGGGAGATGATGGAGAGCCAAGCTGGGTTTCCCTGCCCCTGTAAATTACCTGGCTCCAACACATGGAACCAAGTGGTCCCATAGACTAGGAGTTCCCCTAACTCTCTGGGGAAGGGAGAGGGCAGGGGAGAGAATATGAGCTGTGCTTTCTCAGGCTACCCCCATGGACCTAGCACCAATCCACCCTCTGGGTCAACACATTGGGCAGGAACTTCTCCAACTCCAGCAGCATGAGGGGGAGAGCTGGGCTGGGCTTCCCCCTAACTCCTCCCTGGATCCACCATCTGAACCCAGCAAACCATTTATTCCCCTGTCCCATATGAGAAAACAGCCTTCTTCTGCTGCCAGTTGATGGACTTAGTCCTGTAAGTAGCTCTGGTAGTAACAATCTCTGTTGTAATACGAAAGGTTGAAATCCTACTAATGATTCATGATTGTGGCAGGATATTGTTACATTTGCATATAACAATTGGTTTTTACCTTTTTAAAATTGGGAAACAGATTGCATGTGCAACTGTAAATCTAGCATTTCCTGACTTTCAAGTGTTTGACTTTGCAAGCTAAAGAATGTTCTTTTAATGTGTTTTTGTTGTGCCTTTTATATATGTATGTATACAGAATCTCTCCGTGTATGTGTATTTTACACACAGAGACAGAAAGTGTGTATTCTTTCAATATTATCTGTTTATGCAGCCACTTCTGAGTAAATAGATGCATTTGGATGGTTGAATCTGTTTTGCATACTAGTGGATTATTTTAAATCACTTCTAATATAACAAGCAATTGCAAATTTCCCTACTGCTTCTGGCTGTTATGGTGCTAAATTTGCATTCCTCCTTTAGAAAAGAGGAACATAAGAATGGCCATATTGAGTCACACCAATGGTCCATCTAGCTCTGTATCCTGTCTTCCAACAGCAGCCAATGCAGGTGCTTCAGAGGGAATGAACAGAACAGGGCAATTAGTGAGTGATCCATCTCCTGTCTTCCACTCCCAGCTTCTGGCAGTCAGAGGCTAGGGACACCCAGAGCATGGGGTTGCATCTCTGACCATCTTGGCCATCACCATTGATGGAGCTATCTTCTATGAACTTAACTAATTATTTTTTTTAATCCAGTTATAGTTTTGACCTTCACAACATCCACTGACAATGAGTTTCACAGGTTTGACTCTGTGTTGTATGAAGTAGTTTCTTATATTTGTTTTAAATCTCCTGCCTATTAATTTCACTGGCTGACCCCTAATTTTTGTTATGTGAAGAGGAAAATAAACGTCCCTGTTCACTTTCTCTGCATTATTCACAATTTTATAGATCTGTCATATCCCCCCTTAGTTGTCTCTTCTCTAAACTGAAACTTTTCAGTCTTTTTTTCTCTTTCTTCATAAGAAAGCTGTTCCATATCCTTAAACATTTTTGTTGCCCTTCCTTGTACCTTTTCCAATTCTAATATATCTTTTTGAGATGGGACAACCAGAACTGCATGCCGTATTCAAGGTGTGGGCATAGCATGGATATATATAGTGGCATTATATCATCTACTCTCTCTTATTATCTACCCCTTTCCTAATGGTTCCTAACATTCTGTTAGCTTTTTTGACTGTCACTGCACATTCAGTAGATGTTTTCAGAGAACAATCCACAGTGAGTCCAAAATCTTTTTCTTGACTGGTAACAGCTAATTTAGATTCCATCATTTTGTATGTATGGTTGGAATTATGTTTTCTAATATGCATTACTTTGCATTGATCAGCTTTTGAATTTCATCTGCCATTTTGTTGCCCAGCCTTGAGATCCTTTTGTAACTCTTTGCAGTCTGCTTTGGACTTAACTATCCTGAGTAATTTTGTATCATCTGCAATCTTTGCCACCTCACTGTTTAACCCTTTTTCTAGATCATTTATGAATATATTGAGCAGCACTGGTCCCAGTACAGATCCCTTGGGGGCACCTCTGTTTCCCTCTCTATTCTGAAAATCGACCATTGATTCCAACCCTTTGTTTCCTGTCTTTTAACCAGTTACTGACCCATGAGAGGACTGTTCCTCTTATCCCATGACTCCTTACTTTGCTTAAGAGCCTTTGGTGAGGGACTTTGTCAAAGGCTTTCTGAAAATCCAAGTACACTATGTCTGCATCATTCTTGTCCCTGTCTGTTGACCTCCCTCAAAGAATTCTAATAGTTTGGTGAGGCATGATTTCCCTTTACTCTTCCCCAACATATTGTGTTCATCTATGCTTCTCATAATTCTGGTCTTTACTATAATTTCAACCAGTTTGCCTCATACTGAAGTTAGGATTACCAGCCTGTAATTGCCACGATCACCTCTAGAGTCTTTTTTAAAAATGGTGTCAAATTAGGTATCCTCCAGTCATCTGGTACAGAAGCTGATTTAAGTGATAGGTTACATACACCAGTTAGTAGTTCTGCAATTTCATATTTGAGTTCCTTCAGAATTCTTTGAATACCATCTGGTCCTGGTGACTTATTACTGTTTTTAATTTATCATTTTTTCCAAAACCTCCTCTAATGACACCTCAATCTGGGACAATTCCTCAGATTTCTCACCTAGAAAGAATGGCTCCTCTGCAGTGAAGACAGATGCAAATAATTCATTTAGCTTCTCCACAGTTGCCTTATATTTGTTGCTGTTAGTTTTTGAGTCTTTTACTAGTTGCTCTTAAAATTCTGCCTAATTATATTTTTACACTTGATTTGCCAGAGTTTAAGTTCCTTTCTATTTTCATCACTAGGATTTGACTTCCAGTTTTGAAAGGATGCCTTTTTGCCTCTAACCACTTCTTTTACTTTGTTGTTTAGCCATGGTCCTCTTTTTTTGGTCCTCTTATTATGTTTTTAATTTGGGGTATACATTTAATTTTATCCTTTACTGTGATGTTTTTGAAAAGTTTACATGCAGCTTGAAGACATTTCACTTTTTTACTGTACCTTTTAATTTCCATTTAATTAGCTTCCTCATTTTTGTATAGTTCCCCTTTCAGAAGTTAAATGCTACTGTGTGAGGCTTCTTTGGTATTCTACCCCACCCTTCCAAGGATGTTAAATTTAGTGCTATTACCAAGTGGTTCAGTGTATTCACCTCTTGGATCAGATCCTTCGCTCCACTTAAGACTAAATCAAGAATTGCCTCTCCTCTTGTGGGTTCCAGGACTAACTGCTCCAAGAAGCAGTCATTTATGGTGTCTAGAAACTTTCTCTTCAGCCTGTCCTGAGGTGACACATAGCCAGTCAATATGGGGATAGCCCCTCATTATCACTGAATTTTCTATTTTTATAATCACTCTAATCTATAAGAGCATTTCATAGTCACCATCATGGTCAGGTGGTCGGTAGTATATTCCTGCTGCTATACTATTATTAAACATGGGAATTCCTATCCATAGAGATTCTGTGGTACAGTTTGATTCATTTAAGATTTTTGCTATATTTGACTTTATGCTTTCTTTCACGTACAGTGCCATTCTCCAACAGGTGCAACCTACTCTGTCATTCCTATATATTTTGAACCCTGGTATTACCATGTCCCATTGATTATCATCATGACATCAAGTTTCTGTGATTATATAAATATCCTCATTTAATACCAGGCACTCAAGTTCACCCATCTTAGTATTTAGGCTTCTAGCATTTGTATATAAGCACTTATAAAATTTGTCACTTTTTAGCTGTCTGCCATTATGTGATGTAATTGAATGGGACTCTTTTTCATTTGACTGTTGCTGTTCATTTCCTACTTGGATTTGTTCATTTCTTACCTTCGCTTACTGTTACAGAAGTGCTACTTAGAAAACCTATATTTCAGTGTGGCTTATGTGACCTCACATTAGTATTGGGCCTTGAAATACTTATTTCTACGGAAGAGAACATTGGAGCAAACCAACCAGTAACTGCAGGTTTTGTTTAATTGGCTGTATGCAAAAGTGACTTCTGCTTTGACACTCACATCTTGGTAGTGCTGTATTTGGGAAATCCAGTATTGATAGAGTACAAAACAAAGGTGAAATTTCTTCTCTGGGATGCTGAACAACAGTTTTATAGTGGCTTTTAATCACCTTATACTTCAGATATAGGATGTCCTCATCAGCAGTCTTGGAACAGTCCTCACACACCTCAACATCTCAGATAAAATGATGCAGTGGAGGCCCACAAGTGGGAGGATGTGTACAGATGGAAAGATTGGGTGAAATGCAGTCCAAAATAACAAGAAATGCCAGCACTTATTCTTTGATACTGGAAGTTTCAATTCTAAAACTTGTTCATCAAGATTCTTGTTTTGGTGGCAGTATCTGATGGAAAATTAAGTATATTTAGGGCCAAATAAAACTGGCTGCTCAAATTATTCCTGAAAATATTACCTCCACGCTCATTGCACCCAACAGTTCCACATACAAAATAAGTAGCTGCAGTAAAAGCCCTCTTTGGGCAGAAAGGCACCAGCTCATCAGAGCATTTAAGTATGTACTTAACTCTGAGCACATGCTTACGTGCTTTGCTAAATTGGGGCTGATAGTCACCTTTCAAATTTAGCAGATTTTGAAAATTTTGCTCTTACTGTTAACCAAATTACATTAAGCATACCTTCTTCCATCTCCATCAAATATTTTAAACTTTACTACCAAGTATTTGTAGTAAATGAAAGCTTTTGTTCAATATTAAACTTAGTAAAATTCAGTTGCACTACCTGACAAACTGATGGGGGTACCAATAGTTATGTTCATTCATTTATCTTTATTTGAACGTGTAATGAACTGCTAATGTCACAATTTTTAATTAGTCTCCAAATCTTTTCAACAGGACACTGATTTGAAAAAAACAGTTGATGAAAGTGCACGGATTCAGAGAGCATACAACCACTATTTTGACCTCCTCATTGTAAATGACAATCTAGACAAAGCCTTTGAGAAGCTACAGACTGCTATAGAGAAATTGAGGTTGGAGCCACAATGGGTCCCAATTAGTTGGGTATACTGACAGATTTCTGAAGATGGGTTTAGCTAACAAGTGAAATTAGCTGCAACAAACATTCTCAGAAGACATTCTGTAGAGATGGAAGATACCTGCAGCACCCTTGCATTTTTACTCTGTGTATATTCCGATGATAGTACGCTATTCTGAGTTTTTATATAACATATTGAAGGAAAAGTGTACTTAGATATGTAATTTATTTTAATTTTTCTAACTTTTTACAGATAACCTTTCTATTCATGTCACATGAAGGAAATGCGTTGAAGCATTTTTATATGTTTTAATTTAGTACCTTTGCCTTTTTCATCTAAAACTTTCAAGTCATTCACTTTAACTTTTACATTTTGGTCTTACATTTTCACTGTGATAAGGAAGGATACTTGAAACAATTTTTGTAAAACTCTTGAAAGTTAGTGTTCATCTGGTCAAATGTCAGTTGTTATTAGGAGAAAACACTAATTCTTTTCCTAATATGCACCTTTAAATTTTTTTATGGGAGCAGAATTTTAAATATTAAAGCAGCAACCATCACTGCTTTGTGACATTGCTCTGACATCTTTCTGCTCAATGTTTATACACTTTTGCAGTTTCATGGTTTCTTCTTGTCTCTTTTGATTTAGACATATGTACTGTAGACTTCCCCTATGTGTACCTTTAAAAAACAATAATGTAAAACAATACCTTGCACTCTGCTTATTAGGCTATTCTTGGGAGCCAATCTTTTAGCCCATTACAGTTGAGGTACTGATGTCAGAAAGGTTGTATGTAATGTAAATCATTGTAGTTAGGATCATGGTGAAGTAGCCTGAGAAGAGAGCCTTATATTGCAGAGCCTTACAATGAGGCTTAGTGTGTAGGACTATTTATTCACACTTGTGAAAACACATTGCTAAAGAAACCTGCTTTTTTATTGAGACATTGTTCGGTGTTTGTATATTGATCTGTGAATTGAGTTCTTGTGATATTTAGCTGGCTCTTATTTTACATTTTGGAATATTGTGAGTGATCAGCTGTTGTGTTTTATAAAATGTGATGTGATGAGATTTTTGTGGTATTTGTTATATTGTGTTTAAACTGCATTCTTCATTGAATAGCTTGTGAAATTAGAAAGTTATTGACAGATGCTAAAAATCAATGTTTATATTTTGTTTTATAACTTGATTTTTTTGTGTTTCGTGATGAAATAATTCTCCATTCAGTAGACTCACTGGCATTATTCCTATTATCTCCAAGTTCATATTGATTAATATTTTCAAGACTTTTACTAATATAAATTCTCCTTAACAAAGTATAAAATGAAAATACAAATTGTCAGTAAGACAAACTATTCTTGTGACCATATTTTATATTACACTAGCTATTGTATGTAGTCACATTTTTTCATCAGTTACCAGGTTTGAGCCTAAATTACAGTCATCTATCCACTTAATTTATTTTCTATCTGGTGACGGGCACCTGTCTTCTGAAGTTTTTTTCCATGCCAAAGCATATTACACAGAATGCCAACAAAAAGAGGACTTCTGCTGAATTCTTTCTGATGAAAAACCCAAAAGAGTAGATACACTGTAAAAACAATAGTGTGCCCTTGGTCTTTTAAAGATTTTTGTCTATGTACACAAAAAACAGGGTGCAGGTAGCTTTATGTAGTTACTTTATACAAAAAAACCGTGAGTCTCAAAAGTTATATTATAGAAGATTTAAAAACCTCTAAGATATATTTTTTAAAGATTCCAGTATATTTTGTAAATGTTATACAAAATTTAGCCTTGGTCTTCTCTGTGGCTTTTGGTATTGAGATTTCAGTTTTTTAAAGTGAGTCTGAAACTTTTAAGGAAAACTTGTATTACTACTTTGTTTTTATTCTGTTAAATTCTGCAAAGTATATATGGGTTTTGTTTCTTTTTAAAAGTTTGGTAGATTTCATAATATGTGGTGCCAGCATGACACTTTTCTATTTGGTACTCTTAGGAGACTAGGTTCTATGATGCTACTGCTCTAATGGTACTTTGAAGAATAGATCTGTTGTTGCCAACAAATAGCAGAGCCTTTGCTTAAATATTTTAAAGATTCAATCTTGGTACTAAAGGACTTTATAGCTATGATGGATCTATCAGTGTCCTTGTTGTACACTATGTAATAGGAGATAAGTGTGTTCTATATGTGGGAAGTGTTATCTAGTCAGATACTATGCCTTTCATTATGAGTTAGAAATTACTAACTCCTGAACTGTGATGCCAAAAGTGGGTTGAGCTAGCTCCTCCCTAACGAGTGAAATTAGAAGATTTTACTTTCCACACTGTAGTGCCGTATATTGCAAATTTCACTAACTCCGCAGCTTTGTCAGAGCATATTTCACCAAATGGAAATGTATGCGCCAAGGTCTAGTCAGAAAACTACTGTACTACTACCAGTACCATCATAGAAATAGGACTGTCAAAAGGGACAGTGTGGTGATGTTTTGTGCTAGGGCGTAGGCCCTCCTGTGTTCAATAGAGTGCAAAATGTTAAATTGATCGCGCTTGAGCCTATCATAAGTGCCATCAGGCCTACTGTATCCTTTTAGGTATTGTCTTTAATGTAGAAGCAGCTGGAAAGTGTGATTCTAGGGCTCCCTCACAGGAAGGATTGTCTGGCAGGATGTATATAAGAACCTGGTATATCAAAACCTTTATGGGGGTTATCTGGATCTCTAGGCTTAAGGTGGTAAGCAAAATAAACTCTTTGCTAAATTTGAAAGATTTGGTAAAGAAGTCTGGTAAAGTATACTTTCCTCATTGAGGACCAGGTTAGCTGTATAAACACACCTGCTTTGGATTTAAAACAACTGTTCAGAAAACATTGGAACTTTTCTTTAAACTATAAAAATAGGTTTTCAGCTCATATGGTCACTCAAAAATGGCTGAATATTTTCTTTTACTCTTTTTTTTAAAAAAAGTCTTCTAGTCTGACAGCAATGAGAATTTTGAGTTCAAACTAACCTTTTTAGAGAGGTTGTTAAGCCATTCATCAGAGGGTTAGAGAATGAAGATGCTATTTCCATCGTAACTACGGTGATAGCTTCATGTCATAATACATATTGGTAGGAAGGGTGGTAGGCTAGAACAGTGGTTCTCAACCTTTCCAGACTATTGTACCCCTTTCAGGAGTCTAATTTGTCTTGCATACCTCAAATTTCACCTCACTTAAAAACTTCTTGCTTACAAAATCAGACCTAAAACAAAACAGTTCAGCACACTAATACTGAAGAATTGCTTACTTTCTCATTTTTACCATGTAATTATAAAATAAATGGATTAGAATGTAAATATTGATTGTACTTACATTTCAGTGTGACACTTGAGCCTTGTCATTCTGAGAGGCAGTAAAGCAACAGCAACAATCAAGTTTTTCTCCACATAAAGTCTATTCCTACTCTTTGTCTTGATGGCAGTCTTAACAGAAAATGAGACTTCGCAAAGATATGTTGACCTAAAAGGTAACCGAACATGCAAAGCATGGTTCCCAAGGTCACTGTACTCTTTCTGTACTAAACACCAGAACTGGGTTAGTGTGGAGTCTTTAAACTTCATTTGCAGCCCTTGGTCTTAGGATGTCTTAGGATGTCTCAAGAAGATTTTCTTGCTGACTGGCAGAGAGGTTACTGTAACTAACATCTGACAAAATGAATGGGTTTCTTACCCAGTTGAGTTGAGCTAAGTTGTGTTGAATGTTGGGGCAGTATTGTTATCCTAAAATTTTAGACTTCAATTATGTTACCTACAATAGCGCTTTTAATTTCTTAAAAGGGTAACCAGGTTTGTGGTCTGCCCTAAAGGAATTGCCAGGGTGTTACCAGCGGGCTTGTCTATGACCCACAGAGGGCTCCGCAGAGTAAGCTAGTTTTGCTAACCCCTAAAAGGACACGGATACAGCCCTCTGCTCAAGGATAGACATACAAACAGTAATTCTTCGAAAACAAAATAATTGTTTATTTAAAAGGTAAGTGGTTACAGTGTATTTAATGAAGCAAGAAAGAATAATAGAATATAGTAAAAATGCAGTAAAATTACATTTAAACCATCATAATTAAAGCGGCACAGTGAAATAAGACTGCTTACAATATTTCACACACAAAGAATACAGCAACTTCAGTGTAACATGTATATAAAGATCCCACATACACAAAGGTTTTTAGTCTTAGTGTTACAATCTAATCCTGTACTTAATGTAAGAGATGCAGTCTCTATATACACACATGAGAGATCATTGTCACATAACATTTAACATAAAACCTTTACTTAACATTAACACTTAATATTTACCATCCTATAAGTGCTGGCCAAGCAGTTACAAGAGCAGAAGGGAAGATCTTACTCAAGACATAGGCATCCAACTTTATTTACAGACAAACCCATACACTCTTAAATATTAGATAGAAAAGAAGATCAGACTTACACATCTTATTCAAATTTTCGCTCTGATTCATCTATTGGTCCTTCTGATCTGTTCGAATTTAGAGAGCACAGTTTTCACAGCTTGCAATTTCACTGCTCAGTCGGGCCATGGATGCTGTGGTGGCTGCTGCTCATTCATTGCTGCTGGTAAGATAGTTGCTGGCAGGCAGTTGCTCGTTGCTATGACAACCTTGGAATGCTGCTGCTGCTGCTGCTTTTCCAGGTAGCTGCTTTCCAGGATGTTCCATTCTTCTTTTCAAGCAGCTTCTGTACTTCAATTTCAGCCTGCTGGCTGAACCCACTATAAACTCAACCTGCTGGCTATTGGCCTTATATACTGTTTGCTCTCTCAATATCAGCTCCTCTCAGCCAATCAGCAGCTAGCTTTTCAGCTCCTCCCTATGACAACATACCTATTTTTAGGTAGGAAAGCTCCTCCCTGACGCCATCTTGGATTCTAGACCTTTATAAGCTCCTCCCTCTAATGCTACCTTGTTTGCTAAACTTTCCACAACCTAATTTTGAACTCCGTAATCCCTCTCTCTCCCATTTTGATTTTCCTGGCCATGTTGGATTTTCTAAATTTAAACTATCATTAATTTATACTTACTTACTGCCTTAATCTTAAAACTAATTACTGTTTTATACAACCCAAAGTATCCTGATACTGTCACCACCTTAATTATATCAATTGGGAAAAGTGAATTTTTGCAATATTTAAACCCCTTTTCAGGTTTTTCTGTAAGCCTCTCAGGATATTCAAGGTATTTCAGAACATTAAAAGCAGAATCTCTCATGACAATACGACTTGAATTCAGATGTCAAGTGAGCAAAACAATCTATTATATCTTTTAATTTTGCTCTGCTCAATTTCCCCTGTGCAGAAATCAGTGACATGTGCATGAAGCAGTGGAAAACAGATAGTCTTTGTCTCCACATTTGGACTTTCAGAATTCAGTTTTCTTGATAAAGGCATTCACTTTCTCATAGAGATTCAGAATGTTAGTGTCACGTCCTTGCATGGACAAATTTGGATCATTCAGCTTGCTAAGTGTATCTGCGAGGTAGGCAAGTTGAGGTAACCACAGTATTCTCAAAGCTTCAGCTATTTCTACAAAAGCACACGATGCTTCATATGCTGTCCCCCTTCTTGTAGCAAAATCAAAGCAGCCATACACTATTACAGAAGATCTGATTCTGCCTGCCACTGTGGCACTTGCAGGAAAAAAAACATGCTTGATAAAAAAAAAAGCAGTTGATACTCTCAAGAAAGTACCTTTATCAAATGACACTGTATGTCATAGAATTGAAGAAATGGCTGAGGAAAGGAGGGAATGGATGATCAGAAAGAAACATGTGAACTTGTGTGTAATTCAGACAATCTGTCAAGTACTTTCTGTCATGAAAGCCAGTGAACCTCTGTGTGAAGCAACAGTTGCTGCTGTTCTGACCCCCTCTCTACGCAAACACCACAAAACAGGTAAGCATTGAGGGGCCTAGTGACAATTTTGACACTCATTTGAAACTTCATGCAGTTAAGAACTCATTTTGTTTGAAGCAAGTACCCCTCAGTGTATGATACGGTGCACCCACTGCAAGGAAGGATTTTCTTTCCTGATCCTAGCTACAAGTCCGTTCACACTCTCGGTCATTGCAGCAGCCCCCTCCGTGCAGATGACTTTGCATGAATTCCAACTCAAATCGTGTTCAGAAGAAAAATTCAGTTTAAACATGGCCCCTCCAATTTAGTTTGCCTTTAAACTTTTGTAAAACAGTATGTACTCGTTGATATCAGTGATTTCACGGTATCAAACGTAAGCAATCAGCTGAGCTTCTCCACTAATATCAGTGACTCATCAAGCTGAAGGGCAAATGTTTTAGCCATTTTA